GTAGCCTCTTCCACGCTTTCAGCTTAGGGAGAGAAAGAAAGGCGAGGAGTATACGAAAATAGCAGCTCCTTCAAGGTCAAAAGTGGCTGCCCTCGCGAAGGCTTATCTTCAGGGTTATCCCAACAATGAACGCAGCTAGAGGATTTGTCCCCAATATCCTCTTGAAAGTTCGACCCAAAGTTAATAGTTCAGCGGATGCTACCCGTGGCCTTGGCCTTCAGGCAGGTGCCGTGCTCTGCCTTATCTCTAGCTTGGAGACTGTAGTCACGTGATCCTACCCGGAGCCCCGATTGGCCTAAAACAAGCATAGCGTCTACTCTACTGTCAATACCTAGTGAACAAAACAGTCCCATACTTCCTAAGAACGAAAGTGACCCCCAAGAAGGCATCCAAACACACGCTGGTCGGGGCGCGTGGCTAGCGTGGCGGTGCACTGATACACCTAGAGGTTTTTAAGGGAGAGGAGGATGCTCATTGTCGGTGCACAAATGCACTGGCTGGGCAACGGAGGGTGCATCTTTCAGGAAAGGGGTGCATGTGCTGCTGATACACCCGACTACACCCGTTTTTTCTTAGAGTGTTGCAAATCAGTCACGGCCGGACTAAACTACAAAAAACGTGCCAACTAAAAAAAAAAAAATTTTTGTTGAGGGTTTTGCGGACTACGTCACCCTCTACTGCCGTAGAGGGTGACGTAGTTCCGTTTTCCAAAATGCCTTTATCACTGTTCTCTAACTTTCGGGCGCTCAAGTCCCGGCCCTTCTTTTTCGTCGTAAAAGGAATACGGTCATGCCCACCTATTTAAACTTCAAGAGCCAGCTGCCCTTACGATTATAAAATGTTGCTCTTATAATAGGTGCTCGATATAAAATATTTCGCGCTGTACAAGGCCCTCTCCTCGAATGAATGTTTACTGCACCAAATCACCAAATAACAAGGAACAATAAACGCTTTTCTTGTGATTACCGATTTCTTCGTCGGAGTCCATGAAATTATTGTGCCATGATTGGTGGGCAAACTTCGACGTAGTACTCCTAATAGGCGACAGCAAGATCTCAGTTGAATATCACCGACCTTCATTCTCTTCTTTGTGGTTGCATTGTTTTTTGCTGCCCGTGTCGGCTCATCCATCTATGATGGATTGCATCAAATCTATAGTGTTGTTTTTCTTCTAAGCCTTCTGCAGGCATGCTTGTGATAGACAATAAAACGGTCGTCTTTATTGACTCGGCCGGCTTCTTTCTCACTATTGAAGGTCATTTGTGCTTGATGTAAAAGTGTTGCTCGGTGTGAGCATGGTGTAATTGTAGTTAGTAGTTGTTCTATTTTTATCACAGAGAAGTTTTCCTTTTATAAATCTCTCAAGAATAATCTGCATGTAATTATAGTGGTCCAATAAACTTCTGAGAGCGATTGAACACGATTACTTTGTGCCTGCCATTGAAATGCAGCGTCTTATTACAGCGCAGGTCTTGTGAATACAGTTCTTAAAATTTATGATGGCAAACAAATTGCAGCGAGAAATGTGGCGCACAAAATAAAGTTCATATTTGTTTGGACTGCAATCTTTTTTTTTTGCGCCTGAACGTATGTGTGATTATATATTTGTAGCCACCATTAGACCAACAGACAAACACACTTTTACGCCATCAGATGTCCCAACATACGACAGGTCATCAGACAGTTCAACCAACAATGTCTGAAAATACGACAGACCATCAGCCAGATGTACCATCAAAATATTTCGGATGGTTCCTTTCGACAAACGAAAACTATGATTAAGCCGTGTGTCTCATGACTGCTGTTAAGCGTTCGTGAAAAGTTGTGACGTGCGGGATTTAAATCAAGTAGACTGTGCTTATATCTACTTATTTTCATTTAATTACACATATTACTTCTGTAGTGTTAGGAGAGACGTACATTAAACATCGCATACATAAAGAGTTTCTTTTTTTAGTGCGTAAAAAATACATGAAACTATGCTTTGTTTTTAACTTAGAAGGCGAAATTTCATCCTAAAGGAGTAACCGAAATATCTTCGCTAACAGAGTCTGGTTCCTATGAAAGAGAACTGTACTCCTAGTATCTTTGAAAAAAAAGTGGTGAGCATGATACCAAATTTTGCACACTTTCAGAATAGTGAAACCTCGAATACACCTGTTGGGGTTCCAGGATGAACAGACTTCCTTCAATATATGCAGTCCTTGGTGCATAGTGTAAAACATTAAAGAAATACTGACAGGTCGAAATCAAATTTTTTTTTTTTTTCTTTTGTATTTTGCGAAACGATTAAAGACGATGCCTTCAATATTCGAGGCTTAAAAACTTAATATTTGCGCATTAAAAAAATTTTTCCAAAAGCCGAATTTGAAGTTACCGCGCGGTCCGCACCGGTGCAGTGACGTCAAAAATTGAGTCGTCCTGTAACTCCAGTTTCTCTCCCGCCTCCGAAGCGTCCCAACCGGAAGTGTCGTGTTCGCCCGCGTTCAGCGATCAACATTGCTTCTCCGTGCGTGCCGCCTATTGCTGTGAGCAGGCGACACTTCACTTTCGAGCTTGAAGCTCCTTTAGGACCCTTTCAGCGATCTCGAATTCTTTGAAACGGTGTGAGGTTGAAGAGAACGCGCAGTGGAATTTTGTGAGCGACGTTAGGGGCCATGTCGCGCAGTGTCACCGTGAAAGGCTGCCCCGACAGAGTCACGTGCGAAACTATGGTGCACAGATCGTTTTGACCATTTCAAGATTTCGTTTTTGAAGTCTGAGAGGTCATTCGGCACCGAAAAGAGAACCTCGTCCGATTATCTTGACTCATTGTCGTCCTTAGTGCTACATGTGCCAACCGCCGCCATGTTTTCCGAGGGAGGATAAAAAGCCAGGAGGCGACATCGCTTCCAACTCCGATCTTCGGTATTTCAATATCGCGGGTAGTAGTGCTTTCGCAATTGCGTTAAAAACATGCTTTACGTATGTTTTTATTACATATAATAAAATTGTCGCTTGCAAAGCTTCTAAGTTCATAATCGATTACGTCACAAATAAATTGAAGTTGGGAGGTGAAAAGAGGGAGAGAAAAAAGCAAAAGGTAAAAATCAGCGGTGCGCGGTACAAATTATTTTTTGTGGATATGACTGCAACTTGCCCATCGTTTTAGACAACAAATGATACAACCTTTGAGGTGTAAGCACCCTTTTGAACACTTTACCAAATGCTTAAATGAGAAACATTATATTTTTTTAAATTTCTGTATAACTCAGTATAGCTGTTTCGGTGAAACCACAGTGTCCGATTTTTAATAACCTCGAGCCTATGTGTTAGGGCTCAGGCGGATCCCAGAGAATAGAAGTGTGTCCTCTGAAATTCGCCAGACTTGGCCAGTGTCATCTTGTAATAATAGGATCAAATGTGATAATCCGCTAGAGCACGGACCATGAGTTCCTAATACGGCGATAGTCCAACTGTAATATACACGGACGCGTCCCCGTATGCGCATCAGCCAGCAATGGCGTACGTGTAATCCATGCAGTAGGGCAAGATATAGCCGCCTTCATAGTCCGCACAACATCTACGGGTACATAAGCCGCCGAGCAAATTGCCGTTGTCCTAGCCGCCACGACAGGCGACGATACCATCACAGTGATCACAGACTCCAAGGCAGCTTGCCGCCATTACCTACGGGGACGCATCTCCAAAACAGAGCTTCGCATTCTCAAGAGCATCCCCCGGCTCACCGAAGTATACCTCGTCCTGGTACCCGGACACGAATACCTCGAATGAAATGAGGCGACACATGCCGCTGCCCGCCCGCATACACAACGGGCGGGCAGCGGCATGATAGGAGAAAGGAAGGTTGTTCCCAAGAGGGAACAACCTTCCTTGCTGCACCCACGACCGACCTGCTCACCAGGTATGCCGACGTACTAGACGACTACCGTCACGACCTAAGAAAATAACCGGCACTGCACCCAAGACTATCAAGAAATGAATCCACCACCTTTCGAAGACTGCAGACCAACACATATCCCCACTGCACCCATCCTCACACCGTCTGCCCCGCTCAATACCCTGCCACCTGCAATTTCTGCCCTTTTCCGGGCATTCTGTACCACCAGGTATGGAAATGACAACAAACCCCAGATCTCACTTCCCATCCAACCCCACCCTACGAGCAGTGAATGGCATGCCTGATCAACCCGGACCCTGGGATCCAGCAAGACTTGGTGAGGAGGGCCCGGATAGCCAGTCGCAGCCAGGGTGTCCCAAACTAAGGATGCCCACCACTCGGCTTGTCCCTAACATATGCACCTGATGCACGTTGAATAAAGATTTATTAAATGAGAATGTGATAATTCTATTCTAAATGTCAGAAGAAATGAACTCTCAGATATTTTCTTTTTCTAGGCTCTCAAGCTAGGCAATTTTTAGTTATTCTGAGTCGGTCGATATTATAAAAAAAATGCCTCCCTCTTTGGTATATACCAAAAACGATCTAATTGAAGCATATATGAGTCCTCTATGACGCCATGGTGTGTCCTGACTTCATGGTGATGTCAGAGTGTCACGTCACCTCAAAGTGCAACGTGGCGTCACAGCACGAACGCACTTGGTCACGCGACATTACTGTACATGGCATCGCGACGAAACGTCAGGTCAGGTGCAGTAACTGTCACACGGCGTCCTTATGTAAGGTTACGTTATGGAACAACGTAACGCGATATCACAATGTCTATATATGGTGTAACCTAATGTCATGGTGCCACGTAAGGTTAGGTGAGGTACCGTCGCGATGCCATGTCATAGTGTTCCCTAACTTCACAGACTCACTTGACTCCACTGTGTATGCGATGTCATGGTATCAGGTGACGGTTTATATTGCATGATGATTGTCATTGTTAATAATAAAATTAGGGATATTTGGTCTCTCCGTCAAGCCTTCCGTGCTAAATATTGAAGCGCCCAGAAATGTGTCTCAAGATAAAGATATATTTGAAATATACACTTACGTCTTTTTTGTATTCTGTGTACGTCTTGCTGATGTTCTGATGCGGGTACACGATGCCTGTGGTGTCCCCGAAAACATCCGCCGCTTTGTCAATCACATCCCCCGCTGTCCACGTCAGAAGCGGCTCTTTTCCGGGATTGTGGAAGTAGCTGAGTTTGGAGAGGTCCCTGTGTCCACAGGCAGAAAAAATATTTTAATGACAGAAGTGCACGCAAAGATAAGAATATCCAACCAGTTTTCTTATCAGATAACTTGAACTAATGTTATGTTATCACTGATTTGTTTCTGCTGCAGAGGTGCATGATATTTCTGTCCGCAAGAACAATATAGAAAAAATAATTTAGAAATGCGGGATCGCAAAATACATACAAACTATGTTTATATTTCTGCTAACAAAGTGTGTGTGTGTGCGTGCGTGTGTGCGTGCGTGCGTGCGCGCGTTCGTGTGTGTGCGTGCGTGTGTGCGTGTGTGTGTGCGTGCGCGTGTGCGTGTGTGTGAGTGTGAGTGTGAGTGTGTGTGTGCGTGTGTGTGTGTGTGTTGTTTAGAAACATAAATTAACATATTGTCTTCCGGGGAACTAATACGCATTCAACAGCAGGGAAACAAACCTATCTAGTTTTATTGATATATAGGGCCACGTGTCGTCTTTCTCCCTTAATAAAATGGGGAAACAATTAATATATAGACGTGACGTCGGGTCAAATTACGCTGATTTTCCTTCTAAATGTAGCTAAAAATGCTCGGAAGGACGGACGAACAGATTTCTGGGATTATGGAGTTTCGGTAAAAACTGTTTTATCCTCTAATAGACATCTGAAGCCATTCCAATCTAAAACAACATGAACATCACGGTATTATAATAATAGTCACTAATAGGGATTACTAAGTGATTTAGGCCAAGTTTGTTATTAAGTGCTAATAGCCAGCAATAGCCGCTCGAAGCGATTGTCACCGGTGAGCATAGAAATTAAATTACGTTGCCACTAATAAGCACAAATAGCTAGCCGTTTGTAGCAGTTTTAGCAAATCATGCCATAAATAGATGCCAATGTCCAATATTAGCCACATCATGCCAGTTCTATTTGCATTGGCCAACATATCTTATTGTGAAAAATGTTAATATTGATCAGTTAGTCATTTCTAGCCATCTCCTGCCAACCAAGGCAAGCATAACAGCCATTTGCCAATATTAGCCGTTGAAGTCGAAAAAATTTCTAACCCCCAAATCGTGGAATTTGCCTATAAGATTTACGGATAGCCCAGTATACAGATTTGAAAAAAGGTATAGATGCCTATAGTCAATACAACCCCTCTTAGTCAATCCCGACCTTAAAACATAAATGCCACAGAATAGCGAAAGTCGCTAAGACCCGGGCATTCTCAGCTTATTTGGACAAGAATCGATGTCAAGCGCCCATATTACTTATTTCAAGCCGATCACATTTATGAAACACAAACAGCATAAAAGTTCAATATTAGCGGCAATGGCCTTCGAAAGACAGCCTGCTTCAAAGATAGCTGACTCCAGATAGTTATTAATATGAGTAATAATGATTTGGACCAATTTCAGTCCCCAGAATTTCTGAAATAAAACTAATATTCATTATCATTATTAGAAGCTTCTGTGCCCAATGCAAAACATTCATTGCTAATACCCAGTCATATTTCAGTGGAGCCCATTTCGTCCATAAAGATTTTGATAAAATAAAAGTGACCAATGATTCATAGAAAACATTATCTGTCAGTTTGTTGATTGGTGCACAAATATTCCAAAAGAATAAATAATTGTCATTACTGCGCACCTGAAATCGACCGAGTTCGGAAATGGCGAAATAATACATGTATTAACTAATAGTGAATACTACTTATTGAAATTAAATCAGTTCAATAAATAGTCACTTCATCCCATTATCTCCTAATTAAGACACAAAAGGAATATAACTACATTTTACCAAATAAGACTGACTTCAAAATCAGCAGACATATAAATAGTCAAATAAATATAAAATAATAATTAACCGCCTGGAATTATCGCTAAACGTAATAGGGCAAATATACCAGTTAAGTTAATTGCAAATAAGGCCTGTGCCGCATGTCAAATAATGCAGAATGCCTTAAATAGGAATTTATGGGAATCGATAGGTACATATGAATGTTTAGTGTAAGGGAAAACTAGTCGAGCACAACCCTAATATCAATCTAATTTTTTAGCTAAGTTGACCCACCCTCAAGAAAAGATGTCACCACTTTTGTGCCTCCCAACCACCCTATTAAATTTTAGGTTCAGTTAGTGTAAGTGGTCAGTTGTAATAGTAAAATAAGACTTTTTTTTTAATTTCGAGAATAACTGAAGAAAACGGTCAATTACAAGTGTAGCAATAAGTGAATAGAAAGAAATTAAGGTGTTTTTTTTTACTTATTAGACTAAGCAGAACTGTTAGATTTAGAACTGAAGAGTTTCAGATATTAGCCGTTATTATTGTAGGTGTATAAACTAACTGGAGCAACTTAAATAAACCACGGCCAAAACATTCACACGCTGATCGGTGAGGCGACAAAATCAAAACAAAGTCAATCCCTAACAGCTAATGCGGTAATCGAAAACACCCGAAAGCCGCTGCGGTATAGTAGAAAAATGTCTAAGAATTGTATGAGACGCATAATTCTGTTTACCTGCGAAGGCAACAACACGCGAACGTGTTCGATAGCAGCATTTTAGCAACATTATTCGGTGTTGAATGGTTAACATTCTCAAGTTACGAGCGACAGTCGGCAACACCGATGACTATATTAATAAGCCAACGCCCATCGGCAGACCCCTGCTTGTCAAGTGTATTAAATTATTTTGTTCAAACGAACAGAGTTATGTCTTTTCTTTTTTCCCAGAGTCATATCTCGGTTAACACAACGACGTTCGCACTGAAACGGTATTATTCAAGGAACATGATTCGTTACACCAGTTAATCATGCTCCGTATATTAGTGAGGGATAAACGTTAGGTAATATATCTGACTGCTGACTGTGGCAAGGGTAAACGCGTACTGTAAGGTGTCGGATCTAACTTCCCCCTGGTGCGAATTCGAAGAAGCTTGTGAGTACAGTCATCAGACTCTCACTCTGATTGGCGCGTGTTTAATGGCCGTCACCTGGATTAAACGCCAACGTGCACTTCACGCTTTCCACTTGTGCCCGCCTCCCCCTTTCCTGTATCCTCTCATCTTTCTACCTTTCCACAACTTGGTCCCTCTTGCAGCTTAGGGGAGGGGAGCGCTAAGAGGATTTTCTTCCCAGCAGAAAATCGAGGTTGTACGCTGTCCTTTAATGGACAAGAATGAGAAGGGGGCCCGAGACTTCGGTAAAGGTGCCCCAGTGAATCACGGTCTAATATCTTGACGGCTTCCAGATTAGGTTAAGCGAAAAGAGTAAGATAATCGGAAAGTCGAGTAATGGCTAGCGCCTGCATCACTGAGGCGTGTTCACCTTTACCTCAGGCGTTCCCTCCACTCTCTCCCCAAATGAACCAGGCGATGTTACGTCTACGAAAACACGCCAAGGGATTTTTCCTCAGCTCAGTCTAGCAAGTTCGATAACTCTCATTATCTGATTTAATGGCATCTTTGCATGCTGATGTCGGCCTTTTATCTTTTTGGCATACTATTGGTGAAAGTTAAGAACTTCAACAGGAGTGGTAATTACAAACACATTTTGAAAAACGAGAAAAAAATATTAACAGGAATCGAAGCACACGCAAAAACGCAGGTATGGAAAACGCAAACAATATAAACTATAGGCAGCATCCAATTCACAAGCGAGTATATATAGTGAAATATAAAATAGTAATGTTGTGCCTAAATAAGATGAAAACAAATAAGCATTTACGGGCAACCTGGGGACATAAAGCGTTGGGCAAGGTGTCCCGCGCGCCAAATCGCCTACAGTCATTTCCGCCACGAGGGCTCAAGTATATTTGGCCACGCGAGCGGCGCTCCGTCACTTATAAAAGGCCGTCGCCGTGGATGCGCAGAGGCTCTTGGGATCGCGGCGCTGGCGATGACAGTGAAAAAATGACTACGTGTTGTTGAACCAGTTCGTCGTGTCAGTCTCCGAGATGGTTAGCAGCGTGGGAATTCCCATACTGTCGTCCAGACGCGCAATGCTGCTCGTCTGTGAGGATAGCCGCAAACTGGGTTCCTTTTTAATTTTTACATTGTCATTTGTGTGTTTCTAAGATTGCCCGCGTTTGCGAAGTGTTTATTTTTTCGTATTCACCCGAGCAAATTGAATGGAATTCTGAACCTCTAACTACTACAGATGTCGTCATCAGAGGGCCCCGACAGAAACATGAGTTATGACGACGATATGACATTCGGTGAACATGTAGATTACGCAACCATCGACAAAAAAAACAGACGCTAGGCCTGGAGTCTCAGTACCGGCCAATGCTTCTTCAAGGGGGGGGGGGGGGGGGGTCTAGCTGAACTAAAGATGGCCATGGCCATGCTTCTTCAGTTACGGCGCCAGCAGATGACGCGCCCAAGCCCCGCGCCCGCTAGAACCCCGCTGCTAGAACCCCACCCCTAAGGACTACCTACGGCACTCGCTTAGCGCTCTGGTTTTTTCGGGGTACGAAGGTACGAAGTCCCGTGCTCCCCTTCTTGGGCATGAAATGCAGGTAATTTCCGACTTGGTGACGCTGGCCAATGCGGCACTCATCACACCAGATTCGCAGTGGGGAATCCTTGTGAGCAGATAGGAGCTATGGGTGGCCCAGCCGCCCAATGAACTTTGTCTGAAGGTAACACATCGGTTGCACAGACGTAAGCGCAGTCGACTCCAGGAGTCCCAGAAATTTGGACATATACTTGCTGAGCAGCGAGGGCATCCTGCTGCGGTACATTCACCAAGCGGACGATGGGTCCTGGGGCCCGCTTTTCCGAACTGTAATACCTCATACATTCCGTTAAGTCATTCATAACTTATATGCATGGTTCAGAGCCGACAGCTCACAGCAATGGGAGCACGACTTGCGAAACTTTGTTCCGAATTGCAACGTGGCCAGGCATGAGGTAGGATGTCATAACTTACGCACGTAGCTGCTCGTTATGCGAGAAGGCGAAACCACGAAGTGGCCTACCACCAGGTTTAATGCACTTGATTTAAAGCAGGTACCCCTGGGAGTGTGTTGCCTTTGACATTGTCGGTCCCTTTACTCGTAGTCCACGCGGCAATCAATATCTTCTAGTAATGACCGACCACTTCACGAAGTGTGTCGAAATGTTTCTTGGCGCAAGCTGAAGTCGAGGGAAATCTGGGACTGTCTTCTCGAGATGTTTGCGCGCTTTGGCTTTGCCGCAATGCTCGTTGGGGAAAAGACGTCTTATGTTGTTAGCGAGGTGTTCGTGGATGCTTGCAAGGCACTAGAGATACGGCACAAATGGACTTCGCCGCACCATCCACAGGCGAATATCACGGACAGAAGTGTTGTAAGTTGGGCGATATGGTGAACGCTGTTACGTTCGCCATGTCACGGAAATAGTCCGCCATAACCTGAAGCTGATTCTTGTAGCGCATACAAAGCGAAACAAAAACTGGGGCGCAAAACTGGCAGAAATGGCATTCGCTACCTGCCCGACAATCAACCGGTCCACGGGTTTTACTCCGCCTAAACTCAACTTTGGGGAAGAGCTCGCGTTTCCCCTGGGAAACGGACTTCCTTGCACGGATCCAGCATGCACGCAGCGCGCCACTACGCAGTTCGCACAAGATCTCCGGAAGTGTTCACGGGGAACTTGCGGGAAGCTCGAGAAAGCCTCGACGTCTCGAGACTGCAGCAAGCAACCAGCACAACAAGGGGAGGCAAAATCTGTAGTTCAATGTACGAGATCTCGTGCTGAGGGGACCTCAACCACTGAGTGATGCTGCTACATGCTTCACGGCCTTTTTAGCAAAGAGATGGGAGGTTCTCTACCTTGTTCGCAAGAAGCTCTCTAACTTCTCTTACGAGCTGGGAAATTGCAAATCTGGTAAAGTATGCGGGTCCATTCATGCCACCGGCCTAGAAGCTTTCTATGAATCCGAGGAGGCATATATGCTGCAAGTTTCACATGGCACCGGTCCGAACCACCTTTCGGAAGATTCCACACCGTCTCTGCCACGATACAACCTACAACGGCGTGAATTTGACGAAATGAGCTCGCGCTTTAAGTGCATTATGTTCGTTCCAATTTCCTTTTTTTTCTGTAGTTTTTTTTTTTTTTTTTGGAGGGGGGAGGGGGGAAGAAATGAAAGCAGACGTGCTCCCCTATCGCTGTTGGGCAGGCGTCGTTTTCTAAGTTTTAAGTTATATAAGTTGTCACAGTTCTGTTTGTTCAGGAGAAAACCTATCGAGGAAAAATTTCAAAAATATTTTCATGACCCCATTAAGTGCAGCACTTGCTCCTTTGAATAACAAAATAAAAACTTAGCATTGGTTGCTCTATACTTGTAGCGAAATACTGCCCTAGCCGACGAGAACCCTCGATGTTGGAGCACGGCGAAATGCAGAGAAGTGAAATTTTCCCCATCCAAACAGTCGCATGCATAAAATTAGTTTGCAACAGCTGTAACAACAGCTGTCGTGCTCTGTTTACTTTTAAGCCGTGACTGAAGTCAGCGCGACAAGCACGAAGGCACCAGGACACTGTTTTGAAACGTTTTCCCGCAGGCGGTGCACTCGCGCTAAAAATTCACTTTTGAAAGCCAGGAACACGGGTGTGTGCGTGTGTAGGCGTTGCAAAAGAAGATGAAGGGGGAGGAGAGGGCCAATTCAGGAACGGGGGAAAGCTCGCGCTGGTAGCTTTGGTTGCTGTCCAAGCTTAAGGGCAAACCCAGTATAGTGAGAACCTCACCGTGGATTATTGTTTCATTTTTTCGCCAAAATTCAGGATGCCTCGCCGTGCACGCACCGTAAGAGCGGGTGTCGAAAAGACATAAAAAAGTACCTAACCCAAACGTAAAAAAAATAAGAAAAAAATTGAGCGCGTGTTGGGTTCAAATGTTCGAAAGGCACTCCCTGTCGTTCTCTATTTGGCAGTGGCAGTACGCGGGTAGAGTTTGAGGGAGGGTAGGACACGAGCGCACGAGGGGACTTCAGAACATCAAGCTCTCGTGGGAATGTTTTGTGGCTAGTCTAAAAGCAAGCTGCTTTGTCTCTACTTACTCTTCAAACGCTTTCTAATCTCGAACGTCGGCCTCCGCCGTTCGTCCTCCGTGTTTGAGCTTATTGGAAGTGTGATTAGAGACAAACACAGCTATTTTTCCGTCGATTGACCTAACGTTCCAACGACAGCTCGATGTTTTTACGTCCCCAGGCGCTCTAGCCTCCTTCTCTTTCTCAGTTTGTACCCTGCAGCCGACACCGCGTTGCGCCGGTGCATACAGACAACCAGTCGAGCGCACGAACTAGCACGGTAAGGCTGTACCTCGGAAACCTCGCAGCGGATTCCAAGAAAGCGGCTTTCAGTTACGGCGCGCTGAGGTGGCTCGTCCTAGACCAATAGTGGCTACGTTTAGACGTAAGCGATCGTAGCGCACCCAATCTAGCAGGGGCCAGTCGCCCGCAGCCTGTCTTTCTTCTCATTCATCTAGCCATCTGCTACCAATCGAAACAGCCTGTTTGTTTAAGACGTATTTTAATGATTTTTCCACCACCTTGATCTTATGTCATTTGTGGGGAAGATGAGGGGTGAGAGATGAGGAATACAATGTGGATGAAATGCTTAAAAATAGTGCCGGATGCCGGCTTCTCGAATGAACTTAAGCAGAGAATCCAGTACAATCTTCCTGTGCTGTATGTCGTCCCCTGGTCGCGTCCACTCTACGAAAGTTTTGGGTCGATGACAAACGGGGAGGTCGTATATGGTGGCCCGCCTTGAGCGTACAGTGGCTCTGCATTCCCAGAGAAGATGTAATATAGTTGCTGGACTCTTGCTCCCGCATCGAGTGCAGTCACCGTCAATAACCGGCCCGGGGTCATCGGGATGTCGGGCTCGCCTGGCTCTGTCCAGCTTAGCCTGCAGGGCAGGCGTTATTGCCGTGTTGGTGCGGATCCGGCGCAGAATAACGCGGTCGCTCCGGCTGTATTCGGCAGGTAAATCGCCGTTCGGATCTTGAGGGACCAGATCTTTCACTGTCTTGCGCCTCCTCGTCCTTTCCAGGGACAGGAACTCGTCGGGGTCAAGGGGGAGGACATCATTTTCGCCTTCTTGACTTTGCTCCTGTTGCTCCTGGTCTGGTCTCGCAGGCGCAGCTTCAAGCGCCGTTCTGGCAGCATTGTCGGCCTCTTCGTTGCCATATATGCCGGAGTGCCCCGGCACCCATCCAATTCGAAGGACGCGTCCTTCATCTGCAAATTGCTGGCCTAATTCTCGCAGCTGTCGGACGGTGTTGCTATAGGTGTCAACCTTGTCGCATTCTGCGTGTGCCTCCCTGCTATCAGTGAATACCCATACGTGTTTGTAGAGGGCTTCTGTCTTGTTGCAGTGTGTGGCCGCTTGTTTGGCTCCTGCCAGTATAGCTTGTAGCTCGGCTTCCTTGAGGCTACATTCACCCTTAAGTACTTGACTGCATATCATCTGGGAGTTTAACATGAACCATCCAATGGCTCCTTGTCCGTCTCCTCGTAGTGCAGCATCTGTATATACGTACAGGTTGGTGAAATCGCTGTTGTACTCTCGAACAAAGTCGATGTGGTCCATGACTCTTTGGAACCGCCGCTTTTCGTTGTCCTTCCCGATGTTGCGAGCCAGTGGGGCAAATGTAGTAAGCTGCATGGTTGTATCTTCGAGGCTTCAGTTTGGGAGCGTCGGAAGGTGATCCATTGCGAAACCAATATGTCGCAATATGGCTCTTCCCGCTTCTGTAATCTTGAGTCGGTCCAGTTGCGCGTCCTTGAGTGCGTCTGCCCCTCCTTGAGAGTATTAAGCTTAGTGTGAATGTGCAGGTCTTCGATTTTTGCAAATCGTGGAAGTCCGCTAATTGCTCTCATAGCTTCCCTGTTGAGCCTTTCAAGTTTTAGGACTTCTGTTTGCGTAAGTCTATTGTAAATATATGCATAGAGTGCTTTCGAAGTCAGAAGCGCCAGGGCTAGGGTACGTGTTACCCTTTCTGTGGCTCCCCTATTTCTTCGTGGCCACTCTTCTGATTAAGTGCAGCGTGCTCTTCCAGGTTTTCGTTACCCTCTTCATCCAGGTATGGGGCCTTCCGTCTTGATTGAAGAATAGTCCGAGAATCCTCAAACTTTCAACTCTCTGTATCTCATCTCCCTTCATGGTAAGCCGTATGTTCTTTGTTTCTGTCTGAGATTGAATGTGTCGGTTGCCCACCACTTTGTATGATGTCTTATTTGGTGCTGCAGACATGCCTACGGAATCCAGAAACTCTACGATGGTGTCCAGTGCCTCCTTTAGTACCTCTTCTTGTCTTCCGACTGCTCCGCCTTTGGTCTAGATTGTGATATCATCTGCATAGACAGTGAAGCAGAGGTCTTGGATTCGGGCCAGGCGAGGCGGGAGATCGGCCATGACTAGGTTGAACAGCGTAGTAGAAAGGACTGCGCCTTAAGGGGCTCCGACCCCATTCGGTGTTTCTGGACCTGCGGTGTTTCCCACTTTGACTGTAAATTTACGTCCCTCCAAGAAGGATTTGATGAAGTTGAGTGGTGCTCCTTGGATACAATGGGCGACTGCGCTGTCGATTATTGACTTGTGTGGTACGGAGTCAAACGCTTTTTTGACGTCTACTGCTACAACGATGCGTGGATCAACTTTGGAAGGTGCTTCCAGCACATCCGTGTAGATCATCAAAAGACTATCTTGAGTCCCGAGGCGTCTTCGGAAGCCTGTTTACGTTTAGTGAAATGTGCCATTGTTCTCTAGAATGTGCTGAATTCTGTATAACGCCATTCTTTCTGTGAGCTTGCATAAATTCGAGGTGAGTGAAATAGGTCTCATGTTCGCAAGCGGCGTATGGGCGTTCCTGGTTTAAGAATTTGGATGACCCAGGACGTCTTCCACTCTTCTGGAACTTGACCTGTGGTCCAGATTTGGTTGATCCATGTTAAGAGCTGCTCTGAATGTTCGTCTGGCAGGTTCCTAAGAAGAGCATAGGTAATGCCATCTGGGCCTGATGTGCTCTTGGTTTTGCATTACCTTAGAGCCGAGATCAGCTCCCCCATAGTAAAGGGGGCGCTGGCAGGATCCCCTGGAGCATAGTATTGACGCTTGTAAGTCTCTTCTGGGGCGGGTGTTGCGGGTTGCGGGAAGAAGAGTTGTCATGGCTTCTGCTGCCACTTGGTCTTCTGAAACTCGCAGTGCCAGCGCCATGTTTTGTGCTGCAGTCCTGCTCTTTTTTCGGCCTTGCATAGCTTGGGACGTCCTCCACATCTTGTCAAGGCCCCTCCTACCGTTGAAGGAGCCACAGTGGTCTTGCCATTGCTGCCTAGCAAGTTGGTTGGCGTACCTCTTCGCAGTCGCCGTCGCCAGATTGAGCTTTGCCCTCAATGCTGGTGGTTTGCCCTCATTCTTATATCTTTCCAGGGCTTCAATTCGGGAGGCCCATAGGTTGAGAAGGTGTGAATCCGGTGTCGGGTCGCCTTCCTTGACCTTTATGTCTTGTGTGGCTTCCTTGAGGGCTGCCTGAAATCTTTCTGTGAACCCGCTCTCGGTCAGCCCTTGAGTTAAAGCTTCCCTGAATTTGTCCCATTTCACTCGTTTGTGTACCCGCTGCTTTACGCCGGTTGAGAAATGGGTCAGTCTTACGGTGATTGGTAGATGGTCACTGCCCATACAGTTTTTTGAAAGTTGCCACTCGAGTTTGATGTTCCGAGTTGCCCAGGTGAGGTCGGGTGTGGTGTCCTTCTGCTTTGCGTGCATACCTATTCGCGTAGGCATATCTACGTCGTTCGCGAGTCTAAAACAGTTCAGTGTCATTGCTTCAGCTATTTCCTCACTTTTTGGTGAGTCACGGGAGTATCCCCACATGGTGTGCGTCGCATTGAAGTCCCCACCCACGATGATTGGTACCTTCCCCGCTGCAAGTTTCAGGTGTGGGATCCAAGCGGTCGCGTTGCTGCGTACGTTGTATCCCGGGCGCTCATAAACCGACACCACCACCAACCAACGAGCTCCAATTTTCACCAGCACTGCCACAATTTCGTGATATTCGTTGCACCATTGCGACATATCGATCTGGTCTTGCGGTAGGTTATCATCTACGAACACTGCTGCTTGTCCTTTAGCTATCGGCACGTTCGGCGTATCAGACCCCCTGCGCGGTGTTCCTCGTTTCTTGTACCGTACGGTCGGAGTCATATATACGTTATACCCCGCTATTTTTTTTTTTCTACACCCCCTACCTCCTTCAGCAGGAGGGCTACTGGTTTCTCTATAGTTAAAACACGTTTCTTCAGTTCACTCACTTTTCCCGCAAATCCGTGACAGTTCCATTGAACAACACATGGCGGCCTCGGGGCTTGGCCCCGATTTGAAGCCCTGTTATTAGTTGAAGCCATCTTGACTTTCGTGCCTCATCGTGTTGCCGCTTGACGAGTTTTTTTTTTTTTTTCTACTATATTCTTGACCTTGGAACAATGAGCGGACAGCCACGTGCAGGATTTGCGTTATCATGGCTTTAAGCTCCTTTTGCACGATCTCTCTGACCACGCTCATGATGGTATTCTGGAGATCGGCCTTGATGCTGGCGATCATTCTCTCCATAGAGGACTTGAATTCCGCCTTCTCACCAATGTTTGATCTCTATCTCAGCTTGCCTGGGATATGTTTGTCGCCGTGTATATGGCTTGGTGTTGTAGTGGCTCGGAATGCCGTTGGGTTGTTCTTTCCATCTGCCCTCGAGACGGTACTCGTTACCTGGACCCCATGAGAGCTGCTTTCATGGCTTGAACCATGTGTGGAATACCTTCGTCCTCTCTCTCTTTTATTGTACTTGTTGCGGATGCTATCGCTGTCTTTGGAAGCGCTGGGAAGAGCCCCTCAGTCTTTGGTGGCGGGGTTGGCGTGGGAATCTCTTCTCCCTTGGGTAGTTGCGCAGCACGGTCCGGTTGCGTGCTTTCATCCCTCGGCCCAGTGTCCGAAGACCGTCTTGATCGAGGTGCCTGACGTCTGTCGCGTGTGGGTTCCGCCCTCGTCTTTCCCTTCTGTCGAAGCTGCTCGTTGGCCTCCCTCCATTTGCGACAGGAGGAATCCGTGGCCAGGTGGGCCCCCTTGAAGTTCTTACACTGCGGGGAGGTGTCCATGCAGCCGTCCTCTCCGTGCACGTGTTCCCTTCCGCAGTCCGGGCATCTCTGCTCTTCTTCATTAGGGCAGATGTCCGCTATGTGTCCGATAGCGTGACAATGCGTGCACACCACCGCGCGGGGTCTGTATGCACATACTTGCCTCATGCAATCGTAGTATGTGACATATCTTGGGGTTCTCCTACCCTCGAATGTGATTAGGGCTGTCTTGCTGTTCTTGCCCATCGGTCTTGCTTCCAGGATCCAGGATCCAGTGTGTAGTGCTGACCAGGTTCGGTAGCAGGTTTTCTGGGTCGTCGGTCGGGTCGATTTCGTAAATTACCCCTCTGACCTGGTTTCCATGCTGGGCGAGGTATGTAGAAACTGGAATTTCCTTGTCTGGTGTTCGTATCGTCTTCAGCATTAAGAAGTGTTCCGCAAGGTGTGGCAACCAGGTGTCCACCGCAATAGTATTAAGGCCTGTTCATACATGCAGCGGAGCGCTACAAGCATAGTGCTGACCTCGCGCTAAGCGCGTGCTGATGGGAGCAATCACCAGCTTTGTGTCGCACCGTCAAAACTGTTGCTCATGGCAGACGATAAGTAGCTGACGGCACGTGAGGAGCGCTACATCAGCGCTTCGCTGCATGTGAGAACCGGCCTTTAGTGACCTCCTGGATCCTAATTCGATAGCACCTTTCATATTTGGAATGGTTTTCAATAGATTTTGCTAGGTCAATCTTCAGATAGTTTGGCGACAACTCTGTCACACGCACTCACTCACGCGGTCGTAAGATGACTGTGTCGTGTTTGTCACCATCACCTCCCGGCTGTTTCTTCATGGGTGTCGGCGCTATCGCTTTCTTCCGGGCTCCCCTAGAGACGACGGTTGACCATGCAGCTTGGTCCATCTCGTCATCACCTGATGGGTCACGTGAGCTCCACAAAGCTTGGTGACAATTCATATCGGCAGCGCCCGGAGAATCCGAATTTTGGAGTGTCGGGTGTCCCGACGCATCAAGTTGAATGTGGTGATGGTCGGCTTTCACAGCCTCACCGAGCGTCGGGATCACCTTCACCAGGCATAAGTGCTGTTGCTCGGCGTCATTGGTTGTCGGGTCGCTAGGAGCTCTTGCGGTGTTATGATCGTCCTCCCGGGATTTCTGGTCCAGGGTGAGTGCAGTCTTCGTCAGCGAAAGGCCTTTTGTCAACGTTGTGGGGATCCCTCCGGCCGTCCCACCCTGGAGTCCCGTCTTCCCCCCATTTCCCCCGCTCCTTCGCCCGTTCCTCCCGCGCCCTGCCAGGGCCGAACATTCCTGGAGGGCTATGTTGCGCTTTTTGCACTCCCAGGAGACTAGGGAGAGGGAAGTGACGTCAACAACGCAGCAAATGCAGATTGGATGTTGAGTTTGTTTTCTTCTGTCAACATCCAATCTGCATTTGGTCTAGTCGTTGACGTCACTTCCCTCTTCCAAGCCTCCGGGGAGTGCAAAAAGCGCAACATAGCCCCCCTGCTCACCCGGTTCCCTGGACGGGGGA